ACAAAATCACGTATTACAGTCAACAATATTGACTCAATATAAACGTTAAGAAGACAAAGCTTATGATAATCAACAAGAAGAGGATAACAGAAGGTCTACGAAGAACTACGTCAACCAATCCCCTGTAGAAAAAGTGACGCACTACAACTAACTGGGCACCATGAATAAGAACTGAGAGGTACTGACCACAATCAAATCTCGAAAGTTACAATTCTTCGGATATATTATGCGAAATAAATCCAGATATGCTCACCTTCAAGTCATCCTGCAAGGAAAAATATTTGGAAAAAGAGGTCCAGGAAGAAGAAGAACATGTTGGTTAAAGAACCTCAGAATCTGGTTCAATACAACATCTGTGCAGTTTTTCCGCGCTGCTGCAGATAAGATAAATATTGCCATGATGATCGACAACATTCGTAAATAGCTCATAATATGTTCCTTGTCCTTATTACCTTTCGTTAGTTAAATAGAAACCCTTCCTCTTAACAAAGAATTTAGTTTCTATTGTCGAACAACCCAGTTTACTTTCTAAGAAAAACCGAGATGTGGGTCTTCGATGAAATAATCCTTTCTGTCGGGAGAAAGTAGCAAATTTATAGAAAATAAGACCACACCTGATTTGTCAATTAAGTACCATTTTCGCTTGGCACTCTTCGCTTTCGCTTCGAAAATATTGCCGCTCTTTTTTTATCCCTAGTTGGTCTAAATATCTAAAATCGAGTTCTTTTTTGTTGTGGTTCCTGTTGCATGCGGTTCTCTCCATCAAACGGCGGTAAGTGTAATTTCAATTCGCGGTTATCCATCTATCTTCATACAGTACTTCCAAAAAAGTAAATTTTCTCTTTTGTTGTACAGACGTCCTCCAATTCGATAACACTGAGTCAATTCTGCTTACCGTTTCTTTCATCAATTCACTTTAGTCTATTTTATCCAAGTCTAGTCTAGTGTGAGAATTGACCTGATGTATTACCTATTAGACGAGTCAAGTTAGTAGAAAATAAGCGTTTTTTCGACACAAGTGTATAGACGGGTTTGACAGTTGAAATGGATAGTATGAGATATTACAAAAAGACTCTCATCTAGGGATTCATGAATTTTTTAGTGGAACTATTTTTAAATAAACAATTAAGACGTCAATATCATTATTTTGCTCATAACTTATAAACTTGTCTATTTAGAGATTTGACGTCCACAGACGAGTTGTTGAGAAAGAAAAAATACACAAAATGAGATATACTAAATTAAAATCGGTTAATAAACAAAAAAGTTATAGCATAATAACCAAGCAAAACGGCTGATTTTGATTATTGTTAATAACTCTTTTAGTAATCAATAAAATTTATTTAAATGTATCTAAACTTAAAGATCTCATCGTGTTCGAAGTGTGTGCGAAAGATAGGCTAGATCCGTCAAATAGTTTTTGCACAATTTAATTTGTTTATAAGATTTTTTGAAAAATGCACAAATTTCTAAGGCCGGTCCACATAATTTGACTGAATGGATCTTAATAATCCGGGGCTTATTTTCTTCGATGAGACATATATTAATATCCCGTGGAAAAAAAATTAAAAAAAATACGTTTATGTACACAAAATGATTTATTAATAAATAGCACTTTTTAAGTTTATAAACATTTACAATAACTCCGTACTATTTAGTTTAAATTAAATGGCAATAAAATATTCGGAAGGCGGGTTTAAAAAACAACAACTTAAAAAAAAAAAGGTCCTGCGACCATTAGGAGCCGAGTTAGTCCTTTTTTTAAAAAAATCACTGCTACGTCAATTAACAACATTAAGGGCTGAAATTAACCAATATTTTAGAAGAAAAGTCAAAGTTATTCACAAAATGTTTAGCAAAAAAAATAATTGAAAATTGTTTAAACAGGAGTGTTGTAAACGAAGAGTACTTTGCGTTCCGACTAGAATGGAAGGAGTGGGGATTGCCGATTGCACACAAACCGCGCTCTCCAAAAAAGTCGAGCGCACGGTTTCAAAATAGAGTGCTTGGAAAAAATGACATATCTCGGGTTCTAGTGGACCAAATTTGTTCTTTTTTTTTAAACTGGGGTACAACGTTAAAATAATAACATTTAACGTACTTTCATTGCAAAATTATTCAAAACAAAGCAGCTAATGACTACGGAATGTACAAACTTTTTCTTAAGTCGTCTTTTTATTGTTATTTTTCTATTTATTTATTTCAAATAAGATTATATTAAATAAATGTTATAAGTAAATGAACATTTTGAATAATGTTTACTAAAAATTTATTAATGAAATAATAAATTAATTTTATGTTATTACAGAAGTTGAAATTTTGTGTAGTGATTTTTTAAAATAATTTAATTTACTGTAATTTTCTACGCTTAATTTCTATATCGTCACTGATACTACTATGTAAACATTCATCTTCACTTTCATCTTTAATTTCACTTGTATTATAACTTTCATAAATCATTTCATTTTCATTGTCGCTATTCTCATCAAACCCAGTTAAATACATTTCATCAATTATCTCTTGTTCATCTGTTGTATCGTTTTCTTCTTCATTAATAATTTCATAAATATTAGTACATTATAATAGTAAAATAATATTATATTCAAAGTTAACCGTATATTATTCAGACAACGTGGTACAACCATGTGTTTATATTAATATATATCACAACACGTAGTTTTTTTTAATACTCAGATGAATTTTACTTACCATTAACTATTTGTAACAATTATTAAATAAAACAAAACACTAAATATTTCAATACAACAAACCGGTTGTATAGTCGCAGGAAAATGAGTTGTAACTTAACGGCCTAACAGCATCTGCTTTCGACGTGCGCTCGACGCTCGACTTTTTTTAGAGCGCGGCTTGAGTGCAATCGGCAATCCCCACTGCTTCCATTTGAGTCGGAACGCAAAGTACTCTTGGTTTACAACACTCCTGTTTAATCAATTTTCAATTATTTTGTTTGCTAAATATTTTGTTAAAAACTTTGACTTTTCTTCTAAAAGATTGGTTAATTTCAGCCCTTAATGTTGTTAATTGACGTAACAGTGATTTAAAAAAAAAAGGACTAACTCGGCTCCTAATGGTCGCAGGACCTTTCTCTTTTTTTTTAAGTTTTGTTTTTTAACCAGCTTTCCGAATATTTTATTGCCATTTAATTTAAACTAAATAGTACGGAGTTATTGTAAATGTTTATAAGCTTAAAAAGTGCTATTTATTGTTAAATCATTTTGTGTACATAAACGTATTTTTTTTAACTTTTTTTTCCATAGGATATTAATATATGTCTCAACAAAGAAAATAAGCCCCGGATTATTAAGATCCATTCAGTCAAATTATCTAGACCAGCCTTAGAAATTTGTGCGTTTTTCAAAAAATCTTATAAACAAATTAAATTGTGCAAAAACTATTCGACGGATCTAGCCTATCTTTCGCACACACCTCGTACACGATAAGGTCTTTAAGTTCAGATACATTTAAATAAATTTTATTGATTAATAAAAGAGTAATTAACAATAATCAACAACAGTGGTTTTGCTTGGTTATTATGCAATAACTTTTTTGTTTATTAACCGATTTTAATTTAGTATATTTCATTTTGCGTATTTTTTTTTCTCAATAACTTGTCTGTGGACGTCAAATCTCTAAATAGACAAGTTTATAAGTTATGAGCAAAATAATGATATTGACGTTTTAATTGTTTATTTAAAAATATTTCCACTAAAAAATTCATGAATCCCTAGATGAGAGTCTTTTTGTAATATCTCATACTACTTATTTCAACTGTCAAACCCGTCTATACACTTGTGATGAGTTAAAACCTAACTTGATTGGCCTATATAGCTACATTGATGTGATGATTGATGTGCTGATTGAATCAACCGTAATTTGGTACCTTACTTATATTTATATATATATATATATATATATATATATATATATATATATATATATATATATATATACGATGTATGACCAGATTTGTCTTACATGTAGTTTATACTTACTATAGATTTTATACACATATTTGAGGTGATCATAATCAAACAAATCAGTAACTTCATGTTACTGAGAAGCAAAAAATATATGGGATGAAGAATATTTAAATTGGACTAATATATAATGTTTCATAGTTTTATTACAGAATAATTCTGAGTTGATTGTAACCCAGAGTGAGAGTTTGACTATAAAATCTCTATAGCTACTGTAGGGGTAATATTATGGTAAGGGGATGGAGAAGGAGAGGAAGAGCAGTCTCTAAGAACAACAACGATCTATCATAAACTTTTTTGCCGACGGGCACTCAACTATAATGTAAGCCTGTTGTACTATATATTTAAGAAAACATATTTAATAAGCTACAAGAAACTAACTGTTACATTAATGAAAAAGTGTATCTTATTATATTCTACGATCTATTTCTGGCGTGTAAAAAACCTATTCCTCACTTTCAACATACTCTTTTATTACCACTCTAAAAAATTTATGATAGACATATCCTAGTTTTATTTATGACACTGGTTGTAGAAATATTTTGAAAGCCCTGTGATGTGCTGTACATACCGTTAACCTCTATTCCGTTACATAATTTTATTATATCATACAGTGGTCTCGATTTTGAATACCGACCCAAATTTTCTATTACAAGTACCTGAAGAGAAAATCTAATTGGAATAATGCTTTTGTTTGCCAGAAATTCAACATTACAGTTTTAAACGGTTTTATATAACAATGGCGTCCATACTTGTATTCATTGCTTATAGTCAGAGAGAATCACAATAACAAGGTTAATATGGTTTTGAATTGTCCACATCCACATGTAGTTTCAGTCAGGTACGTAGAGAACAGATCATGTGCATGTTTCATTTTTTTTGTTTAATGTCAAGTTCTCAGTGTTATGTGAACGATTCGCAGTAGCATTGAATGGATAAAAAACATCAAGGAATAAAATTATAGTATGAGTGATCGTGATCATTACGTAATATGTCGCTTACCATTAATAACGCGGCAGATACATACACTAAAAAATTAAATTTTTCTTCAGTCATCTTTCGCAATATGAAAATACCATATTATAAAAATACCATATATTTAACAAAACTATCCATAATTATTAAACATGTGTCTCAATAATAGTAATAAAAAAAGGTTAGTACAGTACACTATAATGTATTTAAGTATATGAAATTATTTTAAAAACAGATGTTTTAAAAGTCTACTATGTTTCTTTTAAATCGATAAGAAATAATTTCTTTCATATTCTGTCCTCTAGACAATAAGTATTTTTGATATTGTTAATTTAACTAACGCGTTACTTTATGAGCACACACAAAACTATTATATTTTTGTCCACCCTGTACTAATTTGAATCAATATGTGATACATTTTTGGAATCAGCTCAGCTAGAGTAATCCGAAAATTGAGACAAAATGGAGGTGTTTCGTTTAAAAAAAATGACGGTGACGTCATTACTCGAAAGTTATTCACCCTGTATAATAGAATATTATTTTAAAATACGGTCAATTAAAATCAAAAATCGACGTGTTTCAGGATTATTTCTTAAAATGCTCTGTTTAGCTAAAAAAGAATTTGTTCCATACTTAACGGACACAGTATATAATGACTAGAAACGAATTGATTGAGAGTAGAATTTCGTGACGCTACCCGTGACGCCTTCTCATGGCGATAGTTCCGTGGTGCTCCCCTCAGCATTTTACTACAGAGAAAAAAGTAATATAACGCCAGTATACATAAGAGCTTAGCTTCAAGAATACTTGTGTCGAGAATACCTCGTCCAATTATTGGTTGACATCAGAAAAGATGTTCAAGAAACCATTCACTATCTTAATAAGGCTCCCAGGCCATTGCTGCAACAAAATATAAGGAATAGCATAAAGCAGTAGAAAAGACAGTATATCAAGAGATAGCTTAAAAACTGGAATTCCTGCTTCATCAAACATCTCCCTTATTATCTATATGTTCTTGGCTGTATGATTGGGAATGAAAACTACACTGGGGATATACTATACTCACAGACCAGCCACTGGCATATAATAGACCGGATCTCATACTAGTTATTTAACTAACTAGGAAACCAAGATATAGCGATACTTAAGAATAATAATATAAGTGTTAAATACAGCGAGAAGTTCGCCAAATACAGAGATCTTAAGATACAAATAAGAAGACAAAGGTGAAGTAAACCATTTACTAGACCATTATACCCTGAAGTACTGGCGCTATTTCAATGAACCATTTAAGGTACATTAAGCAGTTGTGTTTTATCAGAAAGAGTCTCCCGAAGCTCAATCTTTTTGACACTCTAGGTATCTGGAATTTGTGAATTTTCTGAAGTATGAACTTGTGTAGTACATATGCAAATATGCAACATATAATTGAAATCTTTTTAACTCGCAGCATTTTTACCCACAACCGGCAAAACTTCGTATGCGACAAATTTGTATTTTGAGTGCCTCTTGCTATACTACATGGCAAATATAGACAAGTGACAAATATTTGCCAAATACACAAGTAGTGGAAGTCCGCCTTTAGGCTGAAAACCATGTGGTTATTCAATCATATATAATCAAATGAAACATTTCAATGTTAGAATAATTATGCCATAAATCATATGCATACTTTGTATACTAAATTTTAGTTGAAAATATATATTAACCAATGATAAAAAATATCCAATTATGTTTTCATACACATAGACGACTTCAAATTATCTACATGAAATAAAACAGATTTTAGTTTAAAAATAATTTAATTTTTATTGCAAAAACTGCTATGGTATAATCAAAAATTGAACGTAAATTATAGTTTCACAATCATTTGTTATATATGCACCATTCTCGTCGTTGACCTTGTATATTTATAAATATGCATATACATTTGTTTTTGTAATTACAATAAACACTATTAAATGACCATCAAGGCTAATGTGATACTATATTCAAATATGATTTATTATGTACATATAAATGCGATTCATTTTATATCCAGGAAAGAGGATAGTATTTAAATTAGGTTCACTTTCTGTATTATAAGCAAAATTGCTTTTCAAATAAGACCATTTTGTAGTTCCTACTCAAACTTATGTGAACAATATACATCCATCCAAGTCTCAATGTGATGTGATGGGGGTAATTATTTAGATTTTTGTATGTTATAAATAATAATTAGAGTTAAATAATAATAAAATATTATTTAATATTTAACTGGGTCAAGATCGTAGATTAAATTGAACAAATTGTATATTCTTATTGTATATATTATGTAAAGACGTAGAAGATTTGCAAATGAAGCATAAATATAGAGAACTACACAGAATGGTTAAAGAAGTAGCTGGAATATGGAAACCCAAACACTTATCGATTGTAACAAACAAGAAAAACCAAATGGAATTAGACCCTGAAAAACAGAAAGAAATATGGAAGCAATATCTTAAAGATTTGTTTGGTGATCAGGGAACAGAAGAGCCCCCACAAATAGATTCAGATGGAAAATTAAACATTTTCACTGAAGAAGTTTTGTAGGCAATAAAAGACGCAAAGAACAACAAGGCACCCAACAAAGACCTAATAACAGGCGAAAATTTTAAATACTTGATAATGCTGTCAGGAAATTAACATAACTCTGCAACATTATATATGAACATGGCATAATACCGCATGACTGACTAACATCTACATATATAGCTTTTCCTAAAAAACAAATAGCAAGAAAATGGGAAGACCATCGAACCGTATCCCTAATGAATCATGCCGCTAAGATTTTTATGCGAATAATTTATAACCAAATTCACAATAAGTGTGAAGAATACCTGAGTAGTTCTCAATATTGTTTTAGAAAGGGTACAGGCACTAGAGAAGCAATTATAGGATTGACAATGATGGCAGAAAGGTATCTTGAGGTTCATAAACGGCTGTATGTGTGCTTTGTCGATTATAGAAAGGCCTTCAACCGTAACAAACACGGAAAATTGATTGAGGTGCTAAAAGAAGCACTAATAATTTTACAGACGACAGGATTGATCGTTGTTGAGTTGCGGAACATTACGATTTTGTCGAATGCAATTGCAGTACAATAATGTTGAAAATCGGTACATCTGTACCATCTGTACAGATTCTTATAGCTTTCTCGGCTATACCTTTTTGAGTTATCTCTTTTGAGGCTACGGAAATACTAGCAAAAGTGCCAGTCAGTTCTAACTACGCTGGTATTTTGCGCATGCCTCACTCAAAATCAGTGACTTGGATTATATCCTGCATCCTGAGCCTTCTTTCGTTTTGGGGCCATTGGTGTCTATACAATACGCATATGCCACGTTTGACTCCCTATACTGTCTTGTTTCGATTTTGTCGGATTTGTCAAAAATAAACTTTGGTTTAATTGAGTAGTAGGAGTAGTACATCGAGCTCTCTGAGCATAATCGCAACATTGTCACCAGCGCCACCTCTGACATATATTTCTAGAGGGGTAATGTCAATGAACCACTCCATTGCAGTAGTTGGTGTTGTTTTAATGGTACCTGTTAGATTTAGGCAAGCCATCCGCTAAATATGGTTTAGTTTGCTAAAAAAAATTAATTTAAAAAATGACACCTAAGTGGTGCCTTGATTATTTAAAACTATTCACAAAAGATAAGACTAACGAGCAAATTTTTTCTATTAACAATCTTAAAACTAATGTTTGTTGACTTCTCCTCAATGGTATTCCTCAATTTTCTTTAATGGCTTAAACATAGCATCTAAAACAGACAGGACTTATAGACTATTTTTAGAGACACTCAAAATGGTTTTGCACTTACTGGATAGGTTTAGTTCTTTTGAGTCTTTTCACTATTTCATGCCAAACCAGGAGTTGAATAGCCTCTATCTTTGTATGGTTATTTCCCTCAGTACTTTATTGTGAAAACTTTAAATTTCATTTTCATGTTACTCGCACTGGCATATCCCCAGAGCTGTATGGCATATATCTATACCGGCTTTAGTACTTGGTTATATATCACGAGCGTATTAGGATTTGACAGCTTCGATTTTCTTTCAAGGATACAGTACAATTTTCTATATTTATTTTTTTTTTTTGTTAGTGAAACCATATATTGATTTAGGATCATTGAGTTTGATACGCCATTTCTTGGTCCATGTATTAACTAACCTCTCTGAGTGCCTATTACAGTTTTACTTTTGCTTCAATTTCATCATCATCAACTGAAAAGTTTTAGTTTTAGATTTGTAATTTCATTACCATTAAATAACTTTAAAGTAAAAAAAACTACTAAGATTATTTTAACACAATGATCGAGTTTTGAGATTTTCGTTATCCACCTTGTCAGATTCCCACCGCTCCACTCTCTTGCGATGACCTAACGTAGAAAAACGAGGAAGTAACTGAACCGCACATACTTGAACTTGCAGAATAATTACCATGAATTACTTGATTAAGTTCGATTTTAAACCTGCATGCCGCGAATTGTGTGCTCTTATGTAATGCCCTTTAGTTCCACCGATTTAATACGTACGAATTATTCACGTAGTAATTTGTGAACTTCGTAACAGGGATTACATTTTTATTTATTTTTAATTTTGAAATGTTCCTTTTTTAACCGACATTCATATGTATCGTGTTTGATCTAAAGCTTTAAAGAAAAGTAAATGTTTGTTAGGGAACCTTACACAAAAGATGTATTTTTGAGTCTGTAAACTATTCGTCTAAATAGTTTCTTTTCTTAAAAGTTAAGTAAAACGTTAACGTTTCTTAAAAAGTCGAGCAACACTTCTTTTGTAAGTGCTATATTTAATAAAAATAAATTTAAAAATCTAAATGGATTAAAAGTTCAGGACGATTTCGCACTATCATGCATCTTCCGTGAACTTTTTAAGTACTTGCGTGAATAACCGCAAACCAAACAGTGGTTGGGTTTACATTGATCACCATACTTAAACGTATTAAATTCTACAGCAGTATGCCGATGAAACTGTATTACTTACCGAGAATATAGGTCCCTAATCGAAAAAAAATATTTCTAGTGGTGGAAAGT